GCCGCCGCGCTTCCCAAGCGGCGCACTATCCAGTGCACCACCGGGCCGGCCCAATAATATGGTTATTTCTTACATTTTTACTCACTATTATCTGGATTCTGATGGGTGAGATCGGTGAGGATTAGCTTGAATATTCTGTGTTTATTTCATCAGATACAGTAGCTAAGAGAAATCTTAATGCATTTATTTTAGAATCTTTTTGTGAAGTGTTTCTTTTATTGTCTGTTACTTAAATGATAATTGTATTTTCAGCCAAAATTTAAGCAACCAATACATGTGAGCTTTATTATATATTCCTTAGGGTTTATTTGAACAAAATTTGTGGAAATGATTGACTCTCTTTTTATGTTGTACAGTGTCAGTTTTGCCTTGAAAAAATATTCCTTAAGGCATAAAGTCTAAGTGAAATAATACATATTTTATTATTAAGAAGGGTGGGATACACCCAAATTAATATTACTTTTCTCAGAGTATTTATTTTGAAATGTGTTCTTATGGTTACAGTGATGCTGTTATATTGCTTAAAATACTGGTTTATGCTTTTAAAATTATCTTTAAAAGTCTGTGTCATTAAAAAATAAAGCTTCAGTAGATCTAGACTTTGAGGGTAGAAATTTTGGGATCTAATTGTCAAGGGAAGAAACTAATCCCCTCCCTTTATTTTTCTTCAGACTGTGCTGTTGTATTGTTGGGACAAAAGAGTTTCCCCACCAAGTTAACTGCTTGCCATAACAGCAAGTTACCTTGTTAATCTTCCCTTTAGTTATCAAATGCTAGTAAATCTCTGCTCATCCTGTAGAAACATTGTTCAGTTTTCAAAGAAATTTTTCTTTAATCTTTTTTTTGAAACATTGATTATGCATATTCGTTGGAATACAGAGTTGGTTATCAATACATGTATATAATATGTGGTGATCAAATCAGAGTAATTAGCATATTAATCATTATAAACTTAATCGTTTCTTTGTGATGAGAACATTCAGTCTCCTCTCTTCTAGACATTTGATAACATGCAGTATATTATGATGAATTATAGATGCTTAACTCTACTGTATACCAGTAGAACTTATTTTTACTATCTAGCTGTTTTGAATCCACTATCCTCCCTTCCCCCTTTCCTGCCTCTAGTAACCACAGTTCTGCTCCCCCCTTCTGAAAGTTTAATTTATTATTATTATTATTGTTTCTCTCTCTGTCTCCCCTTCCCCCTCCACATACTCCTCCCTAATGAGTGAGAACATGAAGTATTTCTTTTTCTGTGCCTGGCTTATTTCACTTAACATTTAAATTTAAATCTTTATTATTATTCCTAAAGGTAGTATTAAACTTTTTAAAATATAATCTAAGATTTTTATTATGACAGTTTTCTTTTAAAAGATTTTTTTT